TAGATTCTTAGTGTAAATTACACTAAATGGCCCTTTACATAGTCATGCTTCCAAGAGCATTCTTCAAATCCTTTATATAGTCATGCTTCCAACAGGTCCTTTGTATAGTCAAGTACAAATTAATGATATAACTACTCTTGCATGCTTCCAAGAGCATTCTTCATATCCTTAGCTTGGTATTCTTCAGTAGATCTTTCAAGCTTATGTGGTCAATACTATTTATTCTTCTAGGAGTTAAGATCCCACCAGGAGGGAACACCAAGCAATCTCCCTTTAAAGTGAGGTGGGAGACACAACAAAGCTCACTTTCTTCTCAAACTGCGTTGACTTGGATTCTAGCACATATTGGATCCAATGATGTTACATATTGATATGCTTAGTTCAAGAATATGTATGATTCTTCACTCTATGGATGACACTCTGATTATCACAATAAAGTAATACTTCTCCCAATTTAGTCCCAACTCTTTTAGAAGTTTCTTCATGGAAACTCTCTTTGGTAGTTACGATCATACCAAAATTTGGAAGGCCTATTACAAATACCTATAATTTGAAGGGTATATAGGCAAATAACCCAAGATTTATTTAGCTTTGTACATTGACGATGGTACGATTTTATCATTTCTTCCTCCTAAAAATGAACAAATTCCAAATCGATTGCTTAAAATCCCAAATCCCTCCCTCGATTGCACAAATGTCTTTCTTCCTCCTATAAAACTTCGTCCCCACCGCCGACACCGACGAGAAATTGCGGCAAACCGACGATCACCACACCACCTAATCTGTCATCTCATGTAAAGTTCACATCTTCCTCCTTTTTAGTTAAGATTTTTAGTCACTAATGAATAAACATGAATTTATTAAAAGACTTCTTGCTTATGTAAGTTAGCTAGTTTTAGTGAACAGAACAGTAAATGTTCAATGAAATGCCTAAATAAACTTGATCCCATGAAATTCTTTTATGCAGTGTGCTGGATAGCGAATTGTTTAATGAAGTGCCTCAATAGGATTAATGAGCATGAGTTTAGTTAGAAGACTTCTTTCTTTGTAAATTAATTAGATTAATCAATGGAACTACAATTGTTCGTTGTGTAGTCTAAATAAATTATATGCCATGAAAGTTTCCTATGTAGAGACTAAATTGCAGCTGAATGTTAATTGTTCGATGAAATGCCTCTGTAGAAACATAGCATTTGTGTACCATTTTCTATTAGGATTCTAATTCAGCACAATCATTAACACCCATAAACCAAATATTTTTTTGGGGGCTAACCCGAGTATATTAGATGTTCGATGATTCAGTCATAAACTGTCTTGTTCTTGTCATCTAGAAACCGATCATTAGGTCTTAGGATGATTTATTGACATTTAATTTTGAATGAGATATTGGATCTTGTTGGTTAAAGAGTAAACTTGTCTTTTGTTCTAGCTGCTTAAGATATAGAAGAAACTTGAACAAATAGCTAAATACTCAGAATAGCCTTGTTAGTTTTTTAAGGTAAGTGGTTGGGTGGAAGCACTCGTGCTTGTTAAAAGGCTTTTAACTATAATACAATACATAATAGCAAAAAAATAACGAAAATATTTTACTTGGTTCTTTTATTTATGTTTTACTATAACTTATACCATGGGCTGGAAGTAAGAGGCATGTCATGCACAAGACTAACAATAGAAATCTTTGTGAGAAACCATTATTAATGCTATTTTCAACGTAAAACATCTTCAATAAAAGTCTAGAAGCTTTCTATTTTACACTTCTAAGTGTTAATATATATTTCTTCTATTCCTACAAAATGACTTCCAACCGTACGTTGTGCTAATAGATTGCGGATTCAGTTGTTTCTTCTCTATATAATAAATGTTGTAAAACTTACACCTTCAACATTTGAACCTTTGATACAAGTTTTTATGGCTCTAAGACAAAAATTCCAGCATTATCTCAAGGAAGAAGTCAGCTGATCCCTCATGCATTTATGATGTTCTAGGTCGAACATTAACTAGAAAAAACTTCATCCTATGATCATTAAAAAAAAATAGGATCAATGACTATCCATTGAAGAGCAAGACTCCTATAGTAAACGATGTTCTTGAGTATCGAAAACTTTTGATCCAATGTGTCTCTACTCTTCTCAAAGTAATCCCAGCAAAATCTTGCAAATTATATGATATCTTTTAAGTCCATGTCTACAAGTAATTGTTAATTAGCTTTTTCTATAATAATAAACACCTACATATTTGCTACAATATTATTATGCAACATCTTGTATAAAGATGCGACAGTGAGATAGTGACTATTGACATACATATTATTTGATACTATTGATGGGATTGTAAACAGGCAAAATATAGGTATGATCCATATAATATCCATACACAAAATAACTTTGGGTCAAAGCCTATTCTTTTTAATTGGTCCATTTGTCTTCCATTTCTTGAAAGTTAATGTTATTTGACATTGTTTATCGCAGGCTATTGGCAATCGTCAAGATACCGACACTAAGCGACACGTCAATCCCAGTCGCACTTGTCAAGAAAGCAGCTCCCTTATAAACCGCAAGCTAACCAGAAGCCGCCAACATTAAGTCAAGTACAGAAAAGAGTTTCCATAAATATGAATAGCCTCATGACGACAAACAAGACAAATAATTTACGGCATTGGCCAAAAACATAGCGTTCACAAGACCACAACGTTGATTAGCGGATACTGGAAAATGAGGACCATTGCCAATTGAAAGACACAAACTTCACACTCTATAACCTAATACTCAAGCAACCAAAGGACCAAGCGTCCAACCCTACGCAGCTACCGCCTATTTGAATGACACACTAAAACAACCATCCCAAAAAACCCTTCTCGCAACATAACCTACATCTTGATTTATCAAATGGTCAAAAGACAATCTTTGTCATTCCTTCTAACTGTAGAACACCGGCATTTCTTCCACTTACCTGAATAATCAAATTCTTTCATAAAATCAAGCTTCTATAAGCTTGATCTCTAAACTAAAAAGAGTATTTTTCCACATGGTTCAAAGAAGCCATAAAATCATCTATTATTTATGTTTGCAAAGCAATCAAACACAATTACGCCAACAAGTCAGTCATTTCTTCCAATTCTGAAGGGGGGGCAAGCGACTGACCTTTAAATCCCTCTCGAGTATTAACCAATGTGTCGCATAATAAATCAACATCACGACTCCTAAATACCATTCCTTTAACATCACATCTTCATTAACCCATGTAAAAATTATAGGAAAGACAAAAGGAGTAAATCCTAGATTCATCTAAAACTTCTCCCAACTGACAACACAAACAATCATAAACTTGACAGATTCAACTCACAACACAAGAAAGAAGGAGGTACCTCAGCGGAGCATCCAGCATTCAAAAACTTCCACGACGTAGAAACCCTAATCTGAGCGCAGGGAGGCCAAATCCAACGATACCAGGGTCAAGACGAAGCCCTTGGAGCGCTGAACCCGGATCCAAGAGCCGCAGCGAGAGATCTCAGAAGCCCCAGGATCAACGAGGGGAAATAGGAAGAGAGAGAGAAAAACGAAATTCGTAGAGAGAGAGGAAAAGGTTGAGGAAGAAAAGAGATGGAGAGGGATAAGGGAGAAAAGGGGGGTTGGGTTGCTGACAGGCTGTCACCAGTTAGGCTCGGAGTTAGGTTCGGAGTTATAGAAATCAAATTATTATTATTATTTAATCTACTTTCCTTTATAACTAAAGGAAAACCTAAAAGTGAATAGTAAAATTTTTAAATATCCACGTATTTATCTCCAATTAAACAATTCCTCCCCACCTCCCCACAACCGTGACCACGTTTTGCAGTTGCCCACAACTTCCCCATTATACACTCCGCTCTCTCATTATAACGAACTCATGACTTCATCGCCAAGGAAAGGGGTCTCCCATCCTCGGCCGCTCTTGAGCAGCTTCTTCCCGAGTCCAACGCCGGCCGCGGCGATGGCGATGGCCCTCTCTTCGACAACGCGGAGGGGTGGGGCTGACTCGATGACCTCGTCGGGCTCCTCGTCAGATTCGTC